TTGTACAAGTCACTCAATACTATTCGAGTACCCGCTGCGTGAGAAAGAATACTGAGAATGTACGTTTGAAGCACCATGTTTTATAATCAAAGTCTTTTACATTCTTTTTTACATTTCTTGCCATTCTTGCTTACAACCTTTTATCTTACTTGCAAAGTTTATTTTCCCTTGCATTTTACTTGCACTTTTTACCAGATTTCTATACTTAAACTCTTCTCAACCCCTTTCTACTTACTTTTACTTGCACTTTTATCAAGTTTTCGTCTGCATCTAACCTCCACCTTTCTCAGTCGAATGTGTTCTTTATTAAAATTAGCATTTTTATCAAAACAACACAAATATTTAGCATATGTCCTAGGATCAAACTGATCGATCCTGCAAGTAACAAAAAATTTACCCTTTTTGGAAGATCAGCAGTTGATTACCAATTTTCACGGTAAACAGATGGACTCCACTTAGAGTCTCGTTAGACAGGCTCATCTCAACGTCTCGTGTACAAGGACTTGACTCAAAGTCTCGTTAGACAGACTCACTTAAATGCGTCGCCTGAAGGGACTTGACTTGAAGTATCGTTAAACAAGCTCGTCTCAACGTCTCTCCTGAAGGACTTAGAGTCTCACCGGATAGATTCATCTAAACTTATTACCCACCAGCCTAGGCTCCCTTCATGAAAAGTCAATTAAGCATTTAACTATTTACCAAGCCTTTTTGCTTAGGGTACCATGTAGTAAATATTTGTAAAGACACACAATAAACGTTGAGAGCATACCTTTCACGAGGATGGCATCGCCCGCAACATGTATCACTCGCCCAAGGTAAAAAAACACGATAATGACTTGTCCTGGTCAAAGGTGATGCAGGGAAAGAGTCAAGAGAATAACTCACATTATACAATGTTATATTATCAATAAATATTAAAAAAAATTATATTTTTCAATATCATTAATAAAATATAATTTCGTAAAATTGCATATAATATTTTTATACAAAATTAGTTACTCTTTAAACTATGTAAAATGACCAAAGTGTCATATAATAATTTTTTTCACCACATTATTTGGCCCATTAGACCGATTAATCCGGTTTGAAAGTTAATTTTGACATCATATAATTACAACTCTCTTCTAATCGCAATTGTGAAAAATTAGACTGTAATTATTCATACTAAATTCAGTTTCAATCATCATTAGACAAACTAATTATTACTAAAGTGTCATATAAGTTAAAGCAAAGATAATATTATATACTAATTAATGAAATTGTTAATAAAATAAATATCAATAACAAAATATTTAATAAAATAAATAAATAGCAAAATCAACTGTATATCTATTAATAAAATGTACATCCAAATTGTCAATATTATCGTTCATTTCAAAATTATTTTCATTTATAAAAGGTTAAAATATTAAAAAAAAAAAATCTTTCAATTAATTCATTTCACTTCAATCAATCACATGTCAATTTGTTATTTGATATTTTTCAACTTTCTTTTTTACCCTTTTTATCATCTTATTCTTCTCTTAAATTAAATTTATTTTTCTTTTTATATTTTTTTATTTTTTTATTTTTTTATTTTATCTTTTATATTCTTCTTATAGTTACTAATCTATTTTTGTTTTTCAAATCTATTAACAAATGCAAATGAATGTAACATATGAGCACAAACAAATATTTTACATTTTTCTTATTTATTAATTTATTGTTATTCTTTAGATCTATCAACAAATTAATTAAATGAAAAATATAAAGAAACACATAAAAAAATGTGAATACAAACAAATGAAACAACTATGTTAAAAAAATCTTAAATTTAAATATTGATAAATCTAGTTCATTTTATTTTTTTAAGTCTGTATTGTTTTCATCGAAGACATATATTTTTTCTATTTTTTAAATATTATAATATTCAAATAGATAAAATAATTATATAGAATTTTTTAAAGTTATCATAAAATAGAAAAAAAATTTTATACTTTTTATACAATTAAAAATTGTTTTCCTTCTCACAGGTTGCATATTAATTAATATTATTAAAAATATTAATTTGTTTACTTTTAAATTTTAATAAAATTAATAATTTATTTTATTAAGTTAGATAATATTCAATAATCATACAAACAATTAACTTTTCATTTCGCATTTCACAATCACTAAAATATTTATTTTAATTTAATTTATTTTTATTTTTATTTTCAAATATCAAAAAATTTTATTTCTTTTCTTTTTCTATTTTACTAGCTCTTTATGATACTTAATAAAATTGAGTTTATATTATCATTGTCCATATTTTATTTTAAAATATGAAAAAAATGCAAATAATTTTTTTTTGAGGTGGTAGAAATAGAATATAAATAACCGAGTAAATCAACAAATAATTAAGTTTTAATTAATGTCACCTAGTCATTATAGCACTCTACATTACTTATTCTTCAAGCAAATCACTTATTTTTTGAGTGCGGTTATGTTTTTCAAGCTTTGGGCTTGAATAAAAAATATGTTAAATATTTCTTTTGATAGTCAGATATTTGGAGAATCTTTGATAAAGAGGGTGCAGATCAATGTAAGATTATTTTCAAAGTCGTTTTCATTTTTCACTTTAAATTCGATTTGGATGACCCGCAAACAAGGTTAAATTTGATGAGTCTCTTATCTCTTTTTCATCTTCTACCTCTTTCATCTGGGTCGCGGTTTTCACAGTCGAGAATACGGTAGTTCGTGGCTCTCATGTTAATATGAATAATTTTGTGTTCCTTAAGAGGTTTAACGTGGTCATCCGGCCGCCTAGGACTCTTAATATTAGGAAAAAAATTTCTGCTTGTGGTGGTTTAGCTAGAGATAGTGAAAGTTATTTTTTGAACGCTTTTGTCACTTTCTTAAAAGTTGCTTATTTCTTCATTGCCAAACTTTCGAATGCAACGATTGCAATTAAATTCACTCATGAAAAAAATTGGTAGATTTTGTGATTGGAATTGGACTCGAAAGTGGTCGATACTTTTAAACTCCCATTAAAAGTCTTTGATTTATTAGAAATAAATGAATTAATTGGATTAATTTAATTTCTCAAAGCAATTTTATAGTTTCTCACATTTATAGATAAAGGAATAATTGTACAGATATTCTTGCTAAGTTGGATCCCTAATTTCTTAAAGACAGATTTTGTAAAAAATATGTTAAAGTTGCCTTTCTTTAAATTCTCTTAATTATATGAGGGTTTTGGTATAATCCCCCTTTTTTTTTACTCTATTTTTCTTTCAATATTATAACCTTACTAAAAAAAAAACACTACTTATTGTTAGGCCAAATTGCAAGGTGCCTTTATCTTACTCCCATGTTTTGCATAGGTACTTGAAGTTTTTTTTTTAAAATACATTTTAGTCTCACTATGCACTTTTTTTTTAACTTGTTAAATTCCGTTAAAAAATTCCAACACTAACGTTACAAGTTAAAATCAGTAAATTAAACTTTAGTTAGTTTTTATAAAATTAACAAATTCAAAAAATAGATCTTTGATTCCAACTCATCTTATTCAACTATAAGAGATTTTCAGAGGATCATAAATATCTAAACATGTGAACAGTAAATTCAAGTTCTTAGACTATGATGACAATTTTACTACTTGACCCTTTAAAAATCCACCATTAATGTATAATGGACAAATTCAGTTCTCCACATTAAAATCTACCATTAATGTTACCACATAGTGCAACCGACTATATAATTAGTCACTCAAACAAATTAAATTTCAACCATATATGCCCTTGGAAGAAACTTTTGAACTATTGATAACCAACAATGCAGCAACAAACATCAGGTAGAGCACAAAGGGTGTACGACATATTACCTTGATAAAATCTACTAACTTAGATAAAGTACTACTAATGATGTCCTATGCTCATTCAAGAATCCAAAAGTGTTTGTTTGAGATATACTATAAATAAAGTGAGAATGAAGTAGCTATACCAAAGCAAAAGCATAAAGAAAAATCACAAATGTACTAATAGTACTTGGAAATAGGTACAAAAATAGAAATGACATCAAAATTTTCCACATTTATCCACATCCAAAAGGAGTGATGAACATAAGAAAAAAAGTGAGTTGAATAATGAATTGATGGCAGATTGAACAAGGCAACCAATCTATTAAATGGAATTTCTTAGAAGCCCATCATGTTTGACTAACCATTATCCAATACACCAACCATCATAAAAATACAAGGAACAACAACTCTTCTGTTCTTATCCATCATTGATGTCTAAGTTCTTAGCTAGATAGATGAACATATTCTTCCTCATTAGGTGTGATGAAAAATCCAAACTGAAGACTAAAACCATAGATCAATAATGCAAACTACTGTTTCCAAATTTAACTAGAGTTAATTAGATTCCTACGAAACTTAAAAATTAAGTTAACTAAGCTTAATTAACCAGTACAATTTTCTACTTCAAGTCTAATGATGTGATTCATTTAAGGGAAAGGGAGGTGAACCAACCCCACTCCACCTTTCAATCAACAGAGTCTATCTTCATCACACCCTACTAGGAACCCAACACATAACAATTTGCAAAACTATTCAACTTGTGCATAAGTATCCAAAAAACCAGTTGAATATATTTGTATACATAACACAACTAGGCAAAGAATCAAACAAAATCATATCATTACCATAAATATCTGGCATAATATAGACCGAGGCTTCTAATTTCATCATAACAAGCTACCTTGAGAATCATAATTAACTAACTAATCTAGATCAAGACAAATAAGGTAACTAACTAAGTAGAACAAAATTATCTAAATATAGTTAATAATATCTGATTCTACTTAGTTTCTTAAAAGCAACAACCAAATGAAGAAAACAAACAATCCTAACATTGCTATATATGTATATATATATATGTTCTTACAACAAGCACAGTCAGAGAAGTAGAGCATAGTCAGACAAGTACAAGTCAGTAAGATTGAACACCATTAACAATAAGCTTGCTACCTCTCCTTTCTCAGAAAGGAGGAGGAGGACGAGGTGGCGGAGGACCCCAAAACACATCATGAGCCATTTGATTACCATTATGCATAAGATTTGGTGGCAGGTTATACATAGGCATTGAAACCTGTTGTTGTTGTTGATGATGATGATGTTGTTCCGCGAATTCCAAACCTTGAGAAGAACCAACTTCAGCTGCTGCAACAGTTTCTGAATCCACACCAGATTGTTGTTCAACTTGCATTTCCTCTTGATCACCACCTTGTTCATCTTCCAATGGCAGCCTCTCATAAGTAGCATTAGCAAAAGTAGCTGCAATAACCATCACAGGTCCAGAAGCAACCAAAGAACCCGCCACAGCGCCACCAACAACCTGCCCCTGACCACCGGCCAAATAAACAGTAAGCCCGGTAGCTCCAGGCGGAGACGGCGAAGGCAGAAAAGCACCGGAAAGCGACAGAATCTCGAACCTCCCATGAAGAGTAATAACACCACCAGGAGCAGCCGGTTGCCTAAGCGTCACATTAGTCACAATGCCACTCCCACTCAAAACCGACACACCACGGTGACGGCGGTTGGCAAAGCCAGCAATGCTCTCCGCCACATCACTACCGCTACCTATTTCCAACACGTGGCTTCGAAGCGCGTTGGGAGATTCTTTAGTTATAACAATAGGCGGTTTGGGTTTGTTCTTGGAACCCGGCGGTCTACCACGTGGCCGCCGACCACTACTACTACCTGGCTCCGAAGGATTCTGATCTTCAGGGTTGTGGTTATCTTCATCTTCATTATTGTTGCTGTTACTGCTATTAGTCGGAGTCGAGTTCGCGTTGTTGTTGCTTTCCATTAACTCTTCTCTTTTCAGCTGTTGAAGTGAAGTCGGTGAAGTTGGCATAGTTGCCACATTCCCAGTCCACCATCTATTAGCCATAATCTTTTTGGATTTTGGAAAACCAAAGAAAATCTTCAGATATAACACAAGACAGAATCTAGCTTGAAAAAGAAGCTGATATATATGAACTTTGTTTGAATCTAAAGACTCAGATCTATCAATTGAAACCAAAACCTTATCTTATTTTCTGATAAGAAAATAAATAAAAGATTCTATAATACATGTGTATTTTGCATGTAAACCCTAACCACACAATCACACAAAAGAAAACAAGTCACATCAAGCTAATTGAGAGATATTAAAAAAAAAAAAACTGGTGAAGCAAAAGAGAGAACAGAAGGGAAGGTGAAGAAAGAAACTGTGATTCAAGTACAAGAAGAAGAGAGGAGAAAAAACCCTTCACTCCAGGGGAAAAAAAGATGCGTTTGTACCTCAATCTATGCCACAAAAAGAGGTCAGATAAATTGGTACGGTTACAAGGGTACTGTGACTCTCCAGTGAGGGACCCTCGGTACTAATGTTTCTAAATCTGTCTGGGTAAGTGAAAACTTGAGAAGTGTGCTTCAGTTTCAAAAAAAAAAAAAGTATAAAACAAACACCGTCCTTTGAAGTTTTTGTTATACTGGAACTAGAATCTGTATTATGGGTAGTGGTTTTGTGTGTGATGTGAAAGGTGGTTTTAGTTGTCTCCCTGGTAAGCGGTTATAGTGTTGTGTTCAAAGTTTTCAACTTCCTAAGTAAGGAGATATTGATCCACTTGGTGTTGTTGTGTCACCTACTCGTGACTCTTGTTCTTTCGAAAACAAGATTAGCATTACAAACAGACCGCAACTTGCGCAAGACACCATCTAGTGTGTATAGCACTCCATACTGTGTAAGAAAATTGATGTCTTTAAAGGTTAGTATTACTGTTTTAATGAAGGGATTAATGATCTTTAATTTAGAATCAATACTTGTTCAATTTTGTGTTTAAATTTCGACTATTTTGCTTGCTGTCGGAATTTCGGATTATCACTGTCTTTATCACTGTTGGAATTTAATTAAAATTTTGAAAAATTTTAAAAAATTATAATATTAAGATTTTTATTAAATTTAAATAAGTGTTGTAAATTTAATTATAATAATACGGGTTTTCAAAAATCAAACTATATTCAATTAATTTCTTTTGTAATTTATAAAAAATTATGATATGGGTATTTGTAGTATTAGATCGAAATTCAGTCTCAATAAGGATAATTTTAGGATTCGATTAAGTCGACGATTCGACAAGGTCGAATGTGCATATGATACAGTTGAAGTTTATTCAACAATGCACTAGTCGAAGATAGCTTATGTATTATATGATGTAGTAGTTATGTATGCCATGCATAAGTGTTATCCTCGTACATAGCATACATATGCTACTAATATTTAAATAGGTTGCTCGTTCACTTGTTAGGAGAGAGGTTGGTTGTTATGTTCACTTGTAATCATTTAACTTTTAATGAGAAAGTGAATAGTCATTTTAACCAACTTTGTTTCCTCTCTCTTCTCTCTCTTCATGAACTGAACGATTTTCTTATTGGATCAAGAAATTCTCTCTTACAACATTAATTTGTTATTGACATCGATTATCACAACAAACGGGTACAGTGAACGTGGATCAAGATTCCATCAACGAAGTAAGAGATTGAGAAATTTATCGGAGTAAACGGTTTCAGATTATGGCACTTAAAGATGCAAGCTCTTCTTGCTTAGTATGGTTTGTTAAAAGCGTTGAAGGGATCAGAAAAGGATGATGCCCTAACAGAAAAGGAGAGGACGATAATGATTGAGAAAAACCAATGTGCCATCATATTGAGCCTTGGTGATAAGATTCTCCGACAGGTCTCGAAGGTGAAAAGGGCAACAGGTGCATGGAACAAACTCGAAGGTTTGTACATGACCAAGTAGTTGATCAACCATCTCTACCTGAAGCAAGCTATATATTCATTAAAGATGAGTGAAGACAAAGTCTTAATTGAGTAGTTGGGTATGTTCAAGAAATTGATTCTTGATTTGGAGAATATTGATGTTAGCATTGATGATGAAGATCAAATATTGATGTGGATGTGTGTTTTACCAAGATCTCATGCTCATTTCAAAGAAGCTCTCACTACGCCAAAATTGACTTTTGGCATCACCAAAAAGACAACACTTTAATGAGAAAACGCTGCTGTAGGTCTTTTAAAAAATTCGCTAAAAAAAAGTGCTGCTACAAACAGCCTTTAGAAAGCGCTTTTAAAAGCGCTGCTAAATGTCCTACCTTAAAAAGCGCTTTATTGAGAAAACGCTGTTGTAGGTCTTTTAAAAAATTCGCTAAAAAAAAGCACTGCTACAGACATTCTTTAGAAAGCGCTTTTAAAAAGCGTTGCTAAAGGCCTTAAATTCGCCCCACTTAAGAAAGCACTTTCTCGTGAAAGTGTTGCTAGATCTTGTATGATAGAAAGCGCTTTTAATAAGCACTGGCTTAGGTCAAATTATAAAATTAAAATATAAAATTCCCCCTCTTAAGAAAGCGCTTTCTCGTGAAAGCGCTGCTAGATCTTGTATGATAGAAAGCGATGTCTTAGATCAAATTATAAAATTAAAATATAAAACTTTCAGAACCATATTCATTCATTTCTAATCGTTGTCTTCTTCTTCGACCGTTTCTTCTCCGACCGTTCCTAATCGTTTCTTCTCCAACTGTTTCTTCTCCGACCGATTCTTCCCTGATCGCTCCTAATCATTTCTTCTCCGACCGTTTCTTGTCGTAGACCGTCGTAGTTCAGGTACGTCATTCTTGTTGTTGTAACATTGTTGTTGTTGTTGTTATTGTTGTTATTGTTCTTGTTGTACATTGTTGCTGTTTTCTACATTGTTGCTATTATTGTTCTTGTTTTCTACATTGTTCTTGCTGTTGTTCTTGCTGTTTTGTACATTGTTCAAGTTTTTAAGTTTGTTAAGAAGTTGAATAAGTTTTGTCAAATAGAAGGTATGAACAATAATTGTTTTAACTAGTAAACTAACAAATAATAAAAGGCTACATAACACGTATTTAACTGCTAAATAAACCGAATAATACAGTGGAAAGTCAATAAATCATATTCAACTCAAGGATTTTTTTGTCGTTGCAATTGTATAATAATTGTGTGATTAGGTGGTAGAGTCGTTTACAAAGTCTGAGATTCTCAAGGGATTGTTTGTTGAAAAATGCTTGGTTAAGAAAGTTATTCTTAGAAGGAAAAACTACTTTGGACTAAAATGAAGTAACATACTCTTTCATAGCAAATATATTCATTACTTTTGATGTACAAAAAAGTAGTTTAGTCATTACTAAGAACTAATCAGAGATATGATATTATCACTATACCATTAATAAACAGAGTGTTTTAAGAATAAATTAAAATTTTGTTGTTGTTTTGAATAAGTAAGTTAAAATCTTGTTGAAGAGACATTGAAAAGTGAAAAGTTGGATTGATATTGATAGTATGATTGTTTTACAGGTGCAGAGTGAAAGTCTGATTGTTTACACGAATCTTACATTGTATGGATCCAGAAGTTGATTACTTCTCTACAGGTAATTAGTTGTTCTTTTGCTATAGTTGCGTGAATAATTAACGTTTTTGTTTAGCTTAATTAGTAAAACTATTTGAATGAACTGCTATGATGGATGAGCATTGCTTGCAATGATTAGGAACTAACTTATTGAATTTGCTATATATAGGGGTTACTTGTGATCAAAGTGTGAAATTCGGATAGTTTCCCTACAGGTAAATTTTTTATATTTTGTTTTTGCTTAGCTTAATTAGTAATACCATGGATAAGAAATGGATGTCTTAGAGTCGATTGACGAAAGAGTACGAGAATGGGGTATCAGAATTCATTAATTTTTTTGTGGCGCACGCCAAAGACCCCAGGTGAATGACATGTCCTTGCTTGAGTTGCTACTATGGGAGTCGGGTTGACGCGGTTCAGTTGGCATCGCATTTAAAGAGGCATGGAATTAATAGAAGTTATACATGTTGGAATTTGCATGGTGAGAAAAGTAACGGGAATGTTGAATCGGTGGATAATACGACCTATGCTTCAAACGATAATGGCATAAATACATACGATTATGATCGAGTCGAAGAGATTGCAGAAGCACTTGAATAAGACCTTAAGGATTGTCCCAAAATGTTTGAGATGTTGGTAAGCGATGCAGAGAAACCGTTGTATAATGGTTATACAAAATTCACAAGATTGTTTGCGGTATTAAAGTTGTAAAACTTAAAGGTGGGCAATGGATGGTCGGATAAAAGTTTCACAAAGTTATTAGCCCTTATGAAAGATATGCTACCAGAGGATAATCTTCTTCCCAATCAAACATATGAGGCCAAAAAGATGTTGTGCTCTATTGGCATGAGCTATGATAGCATACATGCATGTCCAAACGATTGTGTTTTGTTTTGAAACGAATATGCATCGTTAAATGAGTGTCCTAAATACGGTGTCTCTCGATATAAGAAAAAGTTGTCTCCAACAAAAGTCTTATCGTATTTCCCTATAATTCCGAGATTTAGATGCATGTATCATAGTGAAACTGATTCAAGACACCTGACTTGGCATACAGATGAAAGAATTATTGATGGAAAGCTTCGACATCCGGTAGATTCACCACAGTGGATGAAAATTGATAATGAGTATCCTGAATTTGAAAAAGAAGCAAGAAACCTTCGCTTGGCATTGTCTACTGATGGAATGAACCCACACGGTATTCAAAGTATCTCGCATAGCACATAGCCTGTGATTATTATGATTTATAACCTACCTCCGTGGCTATGTATGAAGCGTAAGTACATGATGTTATCTATGTTAATTTCTGGGCCTAAACAACCAGGGAATGACATAGATGTATACTTGACACCCTTAATCGAAGATTTAAAGTTTTTGTGGGAGAACATTATGGAGGTTTATGATGGGTATAGGAAAGAAAGTTTCAACTTGAGGGCGATGTTGTTTGGAACAATTAATGATTTTCCAGCATACGGAAATCT